TCCTAGGCCTGTGTCCAGTTCCTTCCCCTATGACGGCTGCTCTGAGATCCCCAAGGGGTGGCAGGTCAGCTTTGAGGTGTTGGTTCAGCAAGACAGAAGAGGCCRCTCTCCAGAACATACTCAGTGACCACTCAGCTTCCTGGCAGACCGGGAGGGCAGCGGCCAGCACACATACACCAGCTGTAGGAGCAAGGGTGCCGAGGGGCTGTGGGCCAGAGCCCTCCCTGGGACCAGGYGTTCCCCGGGCCTGGCATTCCCTGGTAGGTTTCCCACAGAGTGTAACTGGTAGGCGTGGATCAATCTGGAGGGGTCCCCTGGGGTCAGGCTGTGACTGAGAGGGGTGCTCATGGTGTGGGGTCAGCAGAGAGGGTTTTGGAGGTGGCCACCAGGAGACCACTGGACAAGGTGGGTGTGTGGGCCACCACTGCAAGGATCAGGAGGTGCTGATGGCAACGTGTGTGAAGCCTCTGGGTTCCAGGATCCTGCTCAGACACCTGGTGGGCATAGTGTCTTCATGGGCACCTCTTTGTGTTCTTCATTATTCACCCCACTACCTAGTGTCTCAGTAAAATAGCACTTTCGTTGGTGGGGGGATTCTTAGTGTTGGGTTATGGAGGCTGAAGTGAGTTTTGTTTTGATTGCTGTTGCCAGTTGGTGTCTTGCCAGAGCCTAYGATCATGGAAGCACCTATTTTACTAATCAGCATGAAAGCAGTTCCTCTCCCTGTCCCCACCAGCAGTGTCCCTGGGGTTCCTGCTGTTCGAGGGGGACCAGTGCATGCGCACCAGCAGCCTCTGGGCAGGGACCTGTGCCCGCAGCTTGGTGGTGGCCGGCCTCAGGACTCAGTCGCAGTCATACTCTGCTCTGGTGTGTTTCAGTGAGGTATGAAGTGGAGCCACACGGGACCCTCGGGCCCTTCAGCCGTGCCTCATGGTGACTGACGTCAGACACCTGCCAGGCCACTCAGGGGACTCAGGGCCCAGCGTCTGTGCTGAGGTGGAATCATGGACATCCTCTGCTAGGCATAAAACCAAAATTCTAGACTGTAGGGAAACCAGAGAGTGAGATAAATCCAGTACCCAGTGTCAGTCAGTCCAACCCTGTGGCAGTCTCTGGCCTGCTGTTGTAGGCTTGCCTTTTGTTTTTTCTTTCTTTCTTTTCTTTTTTTTTTTTTTTTAGAGAGAAAGAGAATTTTAATTTTTTTTTTTTTTTTGGTTTTCGGTGGACACAACATCTTTGTTTGTATGTGGTGCTGAGGATCGAACCCCGGGCCGCACGCCTGCCAGGCGAGTGCGCTACCGCTTGAGCCCCATCCCCAGCCCCTTGCCTTTTCTTTTAAAAATAGCGTTAATGAAATACAACGGCATATACCGTGCAGTTTAGTGGGGGAGCCGCCGGCCTGTGCTCACTTGTGGGGTGGGATCTGGATGCTGTCTTCCGCGGCTGGTTCCTGACACTAGCACGGGGTTTCAGAGCCTGTCCAGGCAACAGGGTGTCCGCTCTGCACTGGGGCGTGACCTTCCTCAGTGTGCACACCAGGCTGTCACATGTGCCCATCCACGCACCTGTGATGCAYGTTGGGGCTGCTTCCACAGTGAATGACGTCGGCTCTTCTCTGCATGGTCTCCCCAGTGTTTGTTCAAAGAGTAAACATGGGATCGCATTTGCATTCCTGGAATAAACTCTGCTTGTCGTCATTTGCCCACTAGTGTGCCACTCTTGCACATCGGTGGACTGCGCTGGGGTTTTAGCCTTGTGCCTCTGCAATCACGTGTCCCTTGGTCTGAGGTTTGTGACTTCTGCTCTTACGTCGTGTCGGCTTCCTGAGAAGATTCAGCTTCCTCTAAGGCTGGTCTCCCCCGTGGTCTGCAGCAGCTCCACACTGGTCAGCCGTTCAGAGCACCGGGTGAAGGGTCCTGAGCTTCGGAACTGGATGTCATTTTCAGTGGGAGAGCCAGGTCTGCCTCCTTCCCAGTCTCTCCGGCCCCCTGGTTGTGTCTTGGATGAACGTTGTCGTTGATGTTTACAAGGAGCGGGCTGTCCTAGTAGACTTTCAGAGTCACCTGTGAGACTGAGTGGTCTTCTTTCATAGTCACTGTGCTAATGTGCCCGTGGTCACCTGTCTTCTATTGAATCCATTGGTGTGTATATTTCTCTCTTTTTTCCTTAGACAGGTGTGCAAAGACTTTCGTCTCTTAGTCTTTGTAAACTTTTGTTTTGGATTCATTCTCTGCTGTTCTCGGCTCACGATTCCAGCCCTGCTCGCCTCTTCCCCACATGGATGATTGTTCTCCTTTTTTTTTTTTTTTTTTGCTCCAGTCATTTCAGTTGAATTCTTGGAAACGCTTAGTCCTTTGCAGAGTATTTGCTCGGCTTGCTTTTTYCCCTTTCCTTTCTAGAGATCCTGTTAGGTGGGTATGGATACTTTTATATTTTATCCAAACCTCTTTTCTCTTAAAACATGGGTTTTCTCTGTGTCTCTTTCCTTTTTTAGGACTTTGTAGGAAAACGCCTAAGCTTGACTTTATGCCCCCCGTGTTCTTCCCTGGTAGGTTCTGGTGAGCCTGACCGTGGACCTCTGGGCTTGTGATGGCCTGCCCATGCCTTGGTTTGGTAGGTTGCTGCGTCTCCTCATGCAGTGCTCCCTGTGCCCTGCGGTTGCGATGCTCCTGTTACTCTCTGTGTCCCAGTGCCCGGCCCCGCGGTTCCAGGCAGAGGGCTGCGGGAGCGGAGATGGTGAGCTGGAGAGGTCCCAGCTGCCAGTGGCCCTCTGTGGTGGAGGACATGGGCCTCACAGTCACTGTGCTCATGCCACCCCACTCTGCCGTGGCTGCTTTCCTGAGGCAGTGACAGATGGCCCTGGGGTGGCAGCCGAGGCTCTCTGTCATGTCGCCTAGTGCCAGGTGGGATGGAGCCTGTCGTGGCCAGAAAGCTCTGCCCAGGCCTGGCCGGTGGTGCCCTCCCTGTCCCACAAGTGCGTCTGGTTCTCCAGGTCCCGTTCTGTTTCTCAGGGGAGGACTTCTCTGTGTGTCCTCAGGGCAGGGTGGCAGGGAAGGAGCAGTGGCACCTTCTGGTCTGCTGTCCTGGGCAGGATCAGGAGCCATGCACCTTAGCCTTCTGGGCTCATCAATGACCCTCACCAAGCCGCGTGCCTCTGGGCAGTCCCTGTTCCACATATCTCAGCACTTCCGGACGGGTGTGTTCAGAGAGGGTCGTGCAAGGAGTCTTCTTCAGGAATGTGAACTGACTGCCATGCTGAAGGCGTGAAGGCAGGACCCGAGCCATTAGCAACTTGGTCTGCACAAAGGCTCAGGGATCCTTGAGGTCACTTCAGAGGTGGAAGCTGCAGTGTGGCGTGTGGCCTTTGATGCAGCAGGGCTGTGCTGGACCCTGCTCTCTGGGTAGGAAGTGGCCACTGTGAGGAGCCTGGACCCAGGGCCAGGCAGTGGCAGGGGTGTGTGCCCTGATCTCGGCTCCCCCACTCGGATGCCCTTCTTCATTCCTGGGTGTTTGGCATCCCCTGGGTGTTGATCAGTGACACTGCACCATTCTGTGTTACCCTCATGTCTGTGAAAGTGAACTGATGACTGCTACCAATTTCAAAGCCACAGAAAGTGCTCTCCGAGGCCCTGAAACTCTGTGGTTTGTCCCCTTCCTCCCTGCCACCTGCCACCCTCGTGGGTGACATCTCCTGCCACCTTGGACTTGCTGCTCCCACACTGTGCCATGTGGACACCAGCTCAGCATTTCTGAACGTCTGTTCCTTGCTCTCTGGAAGCTTCTTCCACCCATCCATCTTCGTGCAGGTGTGACCTTCTCAGCAAGGCATCCTCGGTGGCCTCCTGGAGACCACTGTGGCCACATGGCAGCACTGCATGCCCCTTCCTCACCCGGCCCTTCTGTGGACACTCACACAGCCTTCCAGCACACACCACGGCCTACCGTACCTCCTGGGACACGTGGACAGCCTGTCCTGGTGTCCCCTAGGATGTCTGTCATGGTGCCACCTGGGACATGTGGCAGCCTGTCCCTGTGTCCCCTCGGATGCCTGTCACTGTGCCCCTGGGACATACTACATCCTGTCATGGTGTCCCCAGGAGGCACCACATCCTGTCGTGGTGTTACTCAGGGCACACTGCAGCCTGTCACAGTCCCCTAGGGCATGCTATGGCCTCTCATGGTGTCACCTAGGGTATGCTGCAGCCTGTCACCGTGATCCTTAGGGCATGCTGCAGCCTATGCGGTTCCCCTAGGATGACTGTCATATGTCACCCAGGATGCTGGTGACAGTATACACTACCCTATCACGGTGTCCCTGGGGACATGCTACAGCATATTGTCCTGTCATCTTTAGTTCTCCACAGCATGTCGCAGTGACAAGACCTGCGGCCTTCTCTGGCTGTCCTGGCTCAGCCCCGGGACCTGAGCATGCATGGCTCAGCAAGAGTGTGGGGAGTGCTAAAATGGGGTTGTCAGGTGGGGGAGCAGAACCCTGAGGTACTCCGTCCAGAAGGTGAGCATTTGAAAGCCCAGTAAGCCAGGAGCATGCGCTCAGGAATAAGGTAGAAATTTATCTTAGTTGACTAAGACTTTTCAATTAATTTTCTGCCAAGTTTACAATTTATGTAAAACTTACTTCTTGAAAAATATGATTCTGTGTATAAAAGACAATAAGGAGTCTGTCTGTACATATGTATGTTTAATAAACAGCAGCTTAGTATTGACAGGATAACTCCTGAGATCTCACTTAATTCTGTTTTTTGGGAAATGTTTTCTTCATAAAACTATTCGTTGAACATTGAAAGCCTGGGGCAGGTAGTAATTCATGTCATATCAATGTTTTTAAAAACTCGCAATAATATTTTTCATATTTTAGAATGTTTTTCTAATCCTTTTTATGAGTTTTAATTYCATGTTTGATTTTCATGTTCAGCTGGCAAAGTAGGAATCTTCTTGAGCCACTTGTGCTTTTATTCCAGCATTTCTTTTCTTTCTTGTAGGTTTGCTCTGAGGCCACATTAATGAGACACATGGAGTCACCTTTGACAACATCACCTGGGAGAGACTGATGTCTTTGTCCTTAAAAAGCCATGTGGACAACAAATAGCGGAGGAGCCGAGTGCCAATGCTGCGCCTTTTAGTATCATYGATATGTTTGTTAAAGCGTCAAGACAGAGGGTTTGTGCATGAAGAAAACAGTTTGTTCATTAGTGTTATTTTTAGCAGCTTTTAAAAATTCTCATCTTACTGTGTACCCCGCTCCTACAGCATCTAAGACGTAAAAGTCTCCACCTTGTCTAAGTAGCTTTCCTTCTGTCCCCGGGAACTTCATCGGCTGACCCGGTTCCTGCACACCCAGGTCTTCAGAGGCTCTGCACCAGGGAGACATGGACTTGGGGGCTCAGGCTGCACTGCGGGGCTGCAGTGGGCTTCAGTGGACGGTTCGAGACGTCGCCCGTCGCCCTCAGAGCCCTCACCTGCGTGTGTGGGTCCTGGCGTCGGTGCGGACCGTGGCCTGAGCATGGCCTGGGTGAAGTTCCTGCGGAAGCCTGGGGGCAGCCTTGGGAGAGCCTACCAGCCGGGCAGCACACTGTCACTGGCACCCACCAAGGGCCTGCTGAACGAGCCTGGGCAGAACAGCTGCTTCCTCAACAGCGCTGTCCAGGTGAGCTGTGAGGCGTCTCCCCCAAGAGCAGAGGCGCTGTGGGACGGGTGGCTGGTTGGTGGCACTGTCAGTGGGGACACAGTGGGCATTTGGCTTTTATGGTCAAGGGAAATGGTTTTCCACCAGGATGGGGCGTGACTGTGATGTTATGAAGCACTCTTACCTACAGTGTTCAGTTCATTAAATGTCACCTTGCTGCCTTTCAGAAGAAATCCAGGGACGCCCCCGTAGAGAGGATCCAACGCAGCAGCTGTGTGGCTGCGAGGGTAATGGCGCTTTCTCAGTGGTCACACCCGCTCCCCCTCTGCCGCGCCGTTCTGCCTGCTCTGGGCCTTGACTTGAGCACCCCTGCACCGGGGACGTTGAAGGTTGATCCTTTGGCTTCAGTTCTTGCAGAAGCTCTTTTAATTACAAATTGTACTTCCTACTTTCTTGCCTCAGATAAGTGGCCTTTCCTAGATGTACCCTGGTTCATATTCAGAAAAGTTCCAGACTTTTCTATCTTCCTGAGAACTAAAAGGAGCACTGCTTTAATAAGCAGATTGGGACTGTCAGGCATGGAGACACCTGTGTCATCGAGGCCCTCCACATGGGACAGATGTCACAGATTGTCAGGTGCACGGACATCTGACTGATACTTCCTGTCTTGGAGGCCTTCCAGCTGAGAACAGACGTCATGGACTCTGTCAGGTGTGCAGAAATCTGACTGACGGCTGACTTCTCAGTGGCCCTCCACCTGAGAGCTCACCTCGAGACAGAAGATCAGTGGAGTTAAGAGAGCGCTGGTCCTCATTGACTTTAAGACCCAAGGAGTCACTGTTCTGTCCTGGCATGAAGATTCCTCTGCTTCAAGTATTATGAGGAAAGAAGAAAATGTCTGGTGAAGGGAGCTGGGTATGAGGAAGTGTCCCGGGAAGGTCTGCTGCCGAGAGGGTCTGCACATCAGACCTTCTCCTGCGCTTTGATCTTAGCTTCTCCCTCAGTTTCTGTGTTTCTCCTTAGTTCCTCCAAAACTACATAGTTAGGAAACAAAGGCAGGTAACAAGAGCAAATTCTCAGGATGAGTTCATGGGAGAGAAACTCAAGGGTTTCCCATTCTGAGTTGGAAGACCCAGTCACAGGAAGGTGGCTGCTTAGGAACTCTCCTGTCTCCTCAGTGTTTCCTGTCCCCTGTGGAGGACCCAGTCACA